AAAATATGTAATTTTTCAAAGTTGTTAATTCTATCAGAAATAATTTAAAATATGCAAATGTGAATCTTTATATGAATTTATAATAATAACTCGAAATATTTTGAATGTAAAATTATTCAAGTTTATGCAAAAAACTATATAATATAAACCTAAAAGCTAATTGATTTGAAAAAATAGTATAAATTGATAGAACAATATATATGTTATTTGTCACTTTCAACTAAATTCTTCGAAATACAAACAAAATGTGTTCTATAATCCTTAGTATGAAGTAGTTTCAATCTGCTTAATTATGTATTACCAACTAGTTGAAATATTCAATATTGAGCTAGGAAGAGATGGTCAAGACGTTAATTAACTTGTGCCAATCTCTCTCTTCAATCACCTATTGGTATATATCATATCTCCAAATCAATATGATTGTTTTACAATATTTTCCAAGAAAAAACTAATTAGTAATAACTAAAACTAGGCTGTTGACAAAATGTGATAATGTAAAATCACATATATAAATAATTGAAAATTTAATCCATGTTAGTCATCTTTGAGCAAAATCCTTAAAGTAATTTGGTTTTTTTCTAAAACACATAAACTTGATCAATGCATAAATTGAATTTATTATATTTAAAAACTTGATTAAATCAGGGTTTTTATAAAATAGCATGTTTTTATAAAATGAAATTTTTATGTTCATGTATTTTATTTCATATTTATTAATTAGTTTATTGCAACAATATTGAATTTTATATAATATTATATCAAAATTGAATATTAAAATTTTCAAAATTATTTTTATTATAAATCAATTTAAACAAGTAATGTTCTTTGTTGCTTGTGGAATTATGTATTTTTTTTCATTTTTGATTCATATGCACTCATGAAAGCTGAATCTCATATTAATGCATCATTCATTGAGTGTAAATATATATTGAGTTGTACATTTTTTCCTTGTATACATTTTGTCGGCGTGAAGGTTTTCTAACAAAGATTTCCAATTTTACAATAAAAAAACAATAGAAGTGCATATATGTTAAAACTATTGAGTTACATGAGAATAGATGTTGTAACTTTTCAATACTATTTTTTGGAATCCGACACTTTCAGCTTCCTCATTTCATACTTCAAGATTGATAAATAGATACAATATGCTAGACCCTATAAAATATAAGTTTGAGTTTTATACACATCACATTTTCATCTCTTGCTAACATTGATGTACTCAGATTTTTGATACTGAAAATTTTAAGATATAAGAATTATAGACATGTGATGATTGTAGTAAATTATCAAATTTCTGCAAGAAATATCTATCTGTGATTAGATTTTTTTGTTTTTTTTTCCAAAACAAACTTGGTAGACTAAAAGAATGAAGAAGCAATCAACTTTAAGGTTTAAAAGCAGAAAGCTCTATCTTTGTTTCATTACTTTGCTTTGGATAAGCTTTCTTCATAATTAATTATTATCAGTGTGAAATTTTTGTAGATATTAAATAAATTACTAGTATTTTTCAAAATTAGAGCAACAATTATAATTATCATGTAATTTTGAGAGAAGTATTAATTTTTTTAGGAAAAAAATTGCGATGCAAAAACTTTGCTAGTTTTAAGAAGTTTTGTTTAATAAACTGAAACAACTTGGAAGTAAAATGTATACTATTTAGGTAGATTACTTTTTTTTTCATTAAATAACAAGTTCAATATATTCAATATTTTTTATTGAAATGCTTGAAGCGTTTTGTAACGCAGCGCATTGAAATAACAAATCAAAATCTTGGATGACATAATGATTTTCATTGCTTTATAATATCAGTCTTCAAAGTTTTGAATTATTTTTTCAACAAGTATAGGAAAAAACACGGCTTGCTATAAATCTCTTGCATACTCTAAATTTAATCATCATGTCTGTTTCATCAAACTTTGAAACAAATAAAAAAATCACCCCTCTTGCTTTTCAACTTTTTGCATTTAAAATGTGTCGTGCTATACGTATCGCCATACACTCTACATAACTGACATGCTACTCACATACACACACATATAGGACACGAGAGCGTACACACTCAAATGTACCACAACTATGTACTATAAACTATGTACTGACGTATGGAAAATACACGTAAAGTCTGACATACGTCTCAAATTCCGTTTCCAGCGACCACTTCTTGTACTAATTCGAGTGTGCAGGTCATGCACAACTTCGAGACCAATCTCCTACTTTCCACCTATTTGTCAAGATACTCTCTTCGAAGGTTTAACACTCTCAAGCTATAGTAAATTCCTACTCCATATGATGTAAAGTGCGTGGAAAATTCCCCCTTACACAAACCATACCAGCACAAGTCCAGCCTCAAGTCTTAGCGTCCCTCGCACGTTGCTGCAATGAAGAGTCAAAGTCAGCTCCTGACTTCCAAACTCCATTAAAACCTCAAACATATGTTCCCTTCCTCTTTCTGAAAACCAGCTTATTCATAAGCAAACAAGTACGCAAATAAGAACCAAATATCTTCAACCTCTGTCTTCCTTGGGCCAAATTGTGTAACTCCGTATTCATTCGAGTCCAGATGCCCAATATACTGCAAATTTACAATCTGACTATTTTGCAGAGGTTTCTCTGGTTGTTAATGGACGCCGAATCTGAGGACGAACTTATCAGTCAAACTGAGACATATATTGATCATGCAACTCGATGTGACAAACCCTAACGCGGATGTCCAAACTTTGTGCAGGTACCATAATCCGAATCGCTTCTAGATTCAGACCCACCGTCGGCCGGATAAATCATTCAATCACGTCCTCGTAGTGAGCTCCTTTAATCGATTAACTTACTTATGAGTCCAGGAAGAGATAATATGCACACTTCCGCTGATAACTCAGAATCAAACTAAAGAAGATGTTGGCCGCTTCAATGCAGTAATCACTCAGGTATGGACAACAATACGAGGTGAAAAGTGACATATCCTGAAAGTTTATACGAGGTACATCACTAACTCCGCCCGTATTAGGCATGCTTGAACGTATTCAGTGCAGCCATAGCAGAAGCTTCTCAGAATTGAATCCACCCTCAAACTCCTACTCTCAACGAGTTCAATCCATTCCTTGCTTGGGCGAGTGTACAAAGATACGAAGAAAACACTTGCACAAACGAAGATACTCAACGGAGTTCACTCTATACTTCTATTCATTCTTGCTACAACAACCTGAAGTATGTTTGCACCCAAACTAAACTAACAGCACAAGAGCTTCGAAGCAGTACTTCACCGCATGAGAAGCAACCCGGAACCGAAGAAGTAAACCCATCTCTGACTCACCGACACCGCTTTCTTGTCATCCAAACCGAATTACTCAACCTGTCTATCACTTAATGGCAACTTGTGCGAAACTTCAGATAGATGATGAAAATGCAAAACAACTAAAAACCAAGTCCACGACCTCAACGTCCAAACCATATGAAAGCAGGAACAAAAAATAGTTTCGCTGATGCACAGCGAGAACACGCCGGACTTCCACAACTTGATCGAGACGTGATGCAACTGATTTCTTCGAGTGAAACAAATGTGGTTTTTCTCACTGGAAAACGTATCAGTGTTAACAACCCCACTGGCAGTAAAACCGTCTCTAACATAAGTCAAGCCCAACCCACTCCGAAGAGACTGCAAGTTGACGTTTACGGGCAGTCGCACAACTCCCAACGCTAACAGGCTCGACTCGAAGAACTGACGTTCTTTGAGTCTCCTTCGACCCTTTATCCTACAGGATCATGAACTCCAGACCGACTGCTAATTTTTAGTAAGAACCGAAAATACATGACAAATGTTTGACTAGTGCAATTCTTACATACATTGACAACAAATTTTGCAAGTTCATTTGCTGTGTCATTGTACAATTTATTCTGCAAACAATACTTTTTACTCTTGAGTCATATGTGTATGATTACATGTATATTAACAAACGTAACAATAAAACACCAAGCTTAATTTATCAGAATTAAATTTCTAATTTGACAAATCATATCATCAAAATTAATGACTTGAATGCAATTATAAATTTCATTTTATAAATTGCAAACTAGATTAAATTTTTATCAGTATTAAATCTAGTTTAAATTGTTCAGTTCTTAAGTGAAAAATATTTCATGATATTTATCATGAAATGATTAAATATCATGAAATCAAATTATTTAATAGTTTTGTAATTCATACTTTCATGAAAATCCAACCCGACCAAAACCCATGGCCACGGGTGGGTTTGGGCTTGGTCACCCAATATTGGGTTCTGAAAAGCAGTCAACCCTAGTTAGGTATGCAACTATGTAAGGTAGTACTTGAAATTCTCTAATTGGATGCCAGGTAGATGTGCGCAGAGTAGGCTACAATAATGTTTCAAATACGTTAGTTCTTTATTCCAGTCGATTGTCGAAACGTTTTTCATGCCCCGGATATCACGTAACAAAGATGATTAGCAGGATGCGGGAGGGAGTCAAATTCTTGACACCTGCTATCTGGCAGTGGAAATTGCTGGCAAGTTTGTGCAGCTCATACAGCGGGTGCTGAACAGGTGAGCCATAGACAAAGTTCCAGGAACTAATTTTCACTGGGACGAAGTTTAGCTTAATCTTGCGTTGATTAAGGCAATCCGCTCTGAAACCCGATGTAACCATAAGATCCAAGTGAACTGGTGGCTGAAATCTACAGTACGCTGTTCCGTGGTTGCCAAAGCAAAGGTTAGAGTCCACGTGTCGCCTTTCTTGCCGACTCGCAAATAGTGCATCGTGGTGGGGCCAGGTTTGCAGGAAATAAGACAATAATATAAGACAATTCCTCAACTCAGGAGACCGATAGACCCATAGCTTTACCATCGGATCTCCGCAAATGAATCCTCGGGATTCTAAATCGTCTACTTAAGAAGACTAAATCCGAAGGGTCAATCCTGCAACTCGGGCAGCCCGAGAAGGAAAAAGTGCTGGGTGGGCAGCTCCGATGCAAGCCCCCGCGAATCCGACGGACCAGATCTCGCTGCCCTCGCGATACACCGACACACCGAACACTCGAGCCTCGTCTAGACGGAGCAGCGGGAAAAGCCCTCGGTCCAGAGTAAAATCCGGTTTGTAGAACTACGAACCGACGGACAAGACGATGATATTTCGGTACAAGAAAGTGCGTCCACAGAATGAACAGGACGCGGTCAGGGGAACCGCGGAAATATCTAGCGGACCGGGGGGCCGGCGGGGTGACCAGGAGGGAAAAGGGAAGAGTCCAAGCGCCGAGACTTTCTAGAACCTATCGGGGATTACATACTCGCAGGCGGCAGTAGATTTAGCGATGGGCAGGTGATGAGATGTGTGAGATATGCGGTGCACGTCGCTCGACATTCGACGTCTATCTCTGGCCGGCTCCATCGCCGAGGCTAAAACTGCCCGTCCGCTGCAGAGACGATTTATTAACGCTCCACGCTCCAGCAGAGGGTCTATTCTTCCCCTCCTCCTCTCCCCTCACCGCACCCCCCGCGCAGTGGTGCTAGCTCTTGTGCCTCGATCGAGACCTCTGCGATTTGTTCGCTGTGTCAATTAGCGACACTTCGAACAAATCGCAGCTGCGTGCTCCGCTCCGCCATAGCATCGCATTGCATTCCGTTCGGTTACGTTCCGGACATTCCCTTCAGATTCATTGATAGTGTAGTAGTTAGTACCCTAGCGCACGTCCGTGTACAATCGTTAACTTCGTCTGCCCTTCGACATATTCCGTGATTCCGAATTTGTTGTTCTGTTTGCCTTTTGTCGAGAGATTCCGCCGAGCAGGTGTTGGGTTCGGTTCGGTCGGAGCCTGCGGGTGCAGTGCTGTGTTGGTGTAGCCGCTTGTGTTGTTTGTTAGTGCCGCCGGACGAGGGACTGATCGGAGCGAGAAGAAGAGTCCGTGGCCGATTTGCGCCACTTTTCGAAGCTCGTGCACTCGACGACCGAGATTGGACTGGTTGGAGGTCGGGAGGAAAGACTCGTGTCTAGAGCCGCCAGGCGCCAGAGCAGGCGCTGATTCAAAGAGCCGAAGGCGGCGTCCGATAACGCAATGAGCATCATGGTGGCACCGAATTCGTGGACGCTCAACAACAGCGTGAGATGTTCGGCCCAGAGCGTCGTGAGCACGAGGAAGAAGGAGACGAGCATGCCAGCGAGCAAAGTGGCGCACGTAGATTCGAGCACCAAGGAGTCGTCGGTGGTGGACTCGCCGCAGAAGGCGCTGGAGGCGTCCCCGACATCGCTGGCCTTCGTGTATGGAACGCTGAAGCGCGGGTTCGGCAACCACTGGCTCATGGAGGAGCAGATGAGCAAGAAGCATGCCCGTCTCGTGGGCACAGCGCAGACCAAAATGAGGTACCCGCTCGTGTGCGGTCCGTTCCAGGTCCCGTTCCTTCTCATGTACCCCGGCGAAGGCGAGCACGTCCGCGGGGAGTTGTACCAGGTCGACAGTCACTGCATGGAGCTGCTGGACGAGCTCGAGGGCGTCTCCAAGGACCACTACGAGAGGCGTCAAATCGTCCTCACAGGAATTGAGTTAGATCCGTCGTTCAAATTCTCGCTGCAGAACGGGCTGAATGGGTTCTCTGCCAATCAAGGCTACGCGCTGATGGACGCCGTGGTGCAGCCAGGCGAAGTGAAGGCCGAGGCGTACTTCGCACATCCGCATTACACCCCCGGAATGTACCGGGCGCCTCATTTGGAAGCTTACACCGAGAAGGAGGCGGCCACTTACACCCGAAGGATCCATCGACCTCAAAACCGCACGTTCCTCGAGCACGTCTATCACTGGATCGAGGAGCAGAAGCATGAGGTGCCGCTGCCCGGGGCTAACAATTGAAGGTCGCCAGTGCGTGCCTGTCCCATTTAGAAGACTTGGAACTCTGTCTTCTGTCCTGTTGACGACCTCCGCTCGACGAAGATAGGATTCTGTATATAATGTCAATCTTCGGTGTGGAGCATGACTCCCAATCGCGCCACGAACGACCCTGAAGTCTCTTTGCATCAGAGGGCCGCGCCACAGTAGCAGCAGCACCGAGTAGTTTCAGGGTTACCAGCAAAGAGTAACCGGTTAGAAAAGCAGAACTGAAATAACTTTTGTTGCTAGGAAGGAATGCATTCTCTAGCGATTCTGTGCCGAGAGATGTGCAGATTGGTCGGAGGCGATTGAGAGATGGGCGGCTTCAAAGTCGACGCCGGAGAATCCTGCGTTGACGATGACGTCTGTCATCGCATGTAGTTGTATATTCTCGATGACTTGAAAGGTAGGGGAGAGGAGGAGCCAATCCGTCCTCAGACGTGTGCAAGCATCGGTTAGAACATACTGTTGGTTTGTGCGTCCCGGGCGTCCGATCCTGATCGGGTAGATACCGTCGCTTGCAGTTGTAAATGTCGAACGAGTTGGAAGAGGGAGGAAAAGCGAAGCTGATTCTCTGTGGAGGTAGTAGGTGTGTAAATGATGGATGAAGTGACAGAGAGGACAAGCAAAGCTGTTCCTTTGCTGCACAAGCACTGGTGAGAGCTTGTTGCTCTGTGTAACCGAGGGCATTGCATCCTGATCAGGATGAAACCGTCGCCAGTAGTACTGTTGTAAATTGTTGTAAGAGTTGGAAGGTGAGCTTCCGAAGTGCAAGCACCGGTGAGAGCTTTAGATCCTGATCGAAACGTAGCCAGGCTTATGCATCGAGAAACTGTGCGATTTTAACTGAAGGACGGTAGATAGATCGATAGACTAGATCGATTATCCATTGTTTAAGGTGCTGTTTCGTCGCCAGTGTGGGCGAGTAGGAGATTTTTTATGTGGAACGTGTCTTCTTCGATGGATCTGACTGTCTTGTCCACTCTTACTAGACCTAAGGGTCTTCTGAAATAAAGCATTATAGGTCATTCACTGTTACTGGATAATCATCTTTATACAATTCCGTGTGTGCTCTCGTTCAGAGTTCGCGTTTGCTTTGAGATAGCTGACGGGGGGAGTGTCGGCAGATGTCTGTGAAAGAAACAGTGCGATAATTCTTGGTCGTCACACTATTAATAATCACTCGAAATTGGAAAAGTAAGAAGGCTTTTTCGACGGTGCGACACACTGTCATTTGCAAACTTCTCACGAGACCAACAATGCGCAAACTTACCGTGCAGAGATTGTCGCTAGAATTGTAAAGCAAAGAATAAACAGTTTGAAAGTGGGAGAAAAAAATTGTTCACAACTTTTCACTTTGTGAACACTCCATTCTGTATTAAATAATACAAAATCACATATACCAAACGATGAACAATCCCTAAAATTCCATCCCCGATCGGGGAAAGATGAAACGGGAAAGTTATGCGAGCACACTAACCGACCAATGCAATTGGCGGAAAATTAAATATGTTCATGGCTTGCTCCGAATGTTGATAGATATAATAACTACCAGCTTCGCCTCGTGGTTGCCACGTGAAAAAGAATAATCTCTGTCTGCATTGCGTTCAGACAGCGAGGGAAGTGCAGTCTGAACCGTAAAGGTGGATTCAACCATCCACCTTTACGGTTCATTATTCATTCATTCATTCATTCATTCAACCCGAGCTGAATGAATGAATATTCGATGACTTTATCTGAATCTAGTCGAGGGAAATCCGACGACGTGAATATACGAAAGGTACATCGGTGAATCAGTAAATGAATCGAATTTACTCTTGGAAGTCGTGCTGCATCCCGAATCTCTCTCAGGGTCTTGAGAGCAACTCGGATGCCACCAGGTGGCTCCCTGAAAGCGATCACCATATTTGCATGTACCCAAAGATCCGTGAGCTGAAAAGCTGTCCATAGTACCTTCTGTACTGTACCATGGCTGCGTCGAGTTGTCTGCTATGTATGGCCAACCTTGCGGCTGCTGTGTGTTGGTTGACCCGCAGTCCTTGCTCGGTGATGGCTTCCATCTGGTCCAGGGCCTGCGAGAGTGGCTTTGTCTCGTTCCCCAAGCTTGCGTACGCAAGCATTGTCCTTGCTAATCCACTCGTGCTCTGCCCTCCTCATTGGTGCGTCCCCAGGTCGCGACCTGAGATGGAGTGCCATAATGGCTCGAAAATATCCAGCCGTCGCAGGGTGTCACTTGCGACGGCTCTGCGGGGCAGAGCCGTCGTGAGCCATGACGAGTGACTCAGCTCTGTGTCTGAGGCCGGGAATCCGCTTCTCGTTGTGGTGCCAGATTAAAGTGCAGGCGTGCAGTGCTCCGCGCTTTCGAGGCTGAGGACTGTCCGGGCGACGAAAGACGCGTCGGCTCGGATTGACAACGCTTCTAGATTTGATGGTGTTTCTGCTCATATCCTGTCCAAGTTGGCGCCCGTCCTCGTCAATGCCCCACTTGCATCGAAGCCGAGCGTGAATCTCTTCACGAGCCGGAGCCAAATTCAGACACTTTGATGAACCTCTAGATTTCGTCTTCTCGGCGTATCTGCTTCAGGTTTGCGAAGATCCAGAGTGAATGGGCGGATAGCCCTTGAGGCTGAGAACAAGGTTTTGGTTATGATTAGGATGCTTCACTCCCTCGTCGTTCAGACCATCTGTGTGACTGTGGTCAGAGCTCATAATAACGACTGTGAACTCGTTTGGTCATACAGTTGTCTGAAATTTTTGCTTGTGAAGATTATTGCGGGCATTTGTTGAGAGGCAAATCATCGGACTGACGATGGTGAACAATGGTGACAATGGTGCGCCCTCAATCCGGGAAAATCCCATTGCAGGTTCGGCAAACGCTGAATTGTCGCAACGCCACTGAACTGCATCGACTCATTCTCATCGAAGCCACAGGGAGGCCTACCGTGATCTGAGGGTGTCGGATTCGGAAGCTCTTTCTGCTCTGATAGCTGTAGGCATAAAGCGAGAATGTGCTGCGAGGGATGACTCCGCATGCTCCTCGAATGCTCGCAATACTTTACGTTATCCACGAGAGGAAGAGCTACGAGTCCACAGGAATATTGAGTGAGGAATTTGACGAACACCGAGCACATTTTGTCAAAGGGGGCCTCATCTGACTCGGTGCCGACTCACCTTCCTTCATCTTGACCCTCTCATCCATCGGATAACGCTCACCGTCCTAAACCACCACAACTTCAACTCTCGTAGACTAACGCACAGCAGCATGAGGCTGGTACCTGAATATTGTGGGCGCCCAATCAACGCTCCAGCATGCTGTCACTTTGGGCGATAGCTCAATCATACATGGTGGCAATCTCAGAAGGGCTCTACTGAACAGCTTACGCTCTCGTGGACTCAATGCCCATGCCCGGTGAACACTTAGCACAAGGCCTCTAGGCACATGGGCCTAGAGGGACTATGGGGCACGATCATAATCGACCCCGGATTCCCTCATGGGCCCAATCATAAGTGATCCCCCTCGACTGTACTGTACCATAAGTTTGGACCCAGGCATAGATACGTCTTGTATGGGGGTGGCAAGGTGTGGGGCAGAGTGGGCCAAGGAGAGAATTCTGGTCGTCCATCTTGACGAAGTGGCCAGGGTTCATGTGGGCCCTGAGCATCTTCGGAATTGAATGCCGAAGCAGCGCACATCAAATCTCGTCAATGCGCAAGCCCGAGCCAAAGTGTGGCCAAATCTCGCCCCCCATCACTTGCAGTGCAGGGCCACGTTGGCCGAGCAGATCCAGCCCCAGCCCCATCCCCATCCCCAGAGGCGCAACGAGTCAAAAGCGATACACAACTCCTTGCACGCATCTGGTGCTAAATTTCCAACAACCTTTTGGAATCCCCGCCGCGTTGTTGAATTAATCACGACAAGAGTGCATCACCCTCACCCTCACCCTCAACCTGCTCTTCTGCTGCAATCTCAACTGATTTTGATTCTCGTTCCCATCTGCAGACAATTTCTCAACATTTCTGCTCGTCGGGCAAGACGAGCCATTTCTAATTTCAGCAGTCTCCGAAAGCATCGTGTTCCAATTATTAGAACAACGGCCCTTCGATGGCAGTGTTCGATGTCCCTTGGAATGTGGAAGTGAACACTCAGCCCCTAGACACTAAGCTTAGCTTAGCTCAGCTCGGCGTAGGTGGTTATGGTTATGGTTGTGCGTGTGGGCCAAGGCCCCAAAGTCTGTCCAGAAAGGAGCCGCAGCAATCGGGAAAGGTCGGCCGGATCTGCAGCGGGGCCCCAAGTGTGAACGCTTCATTTTGGAAAGGGTCCTTTCTGCCCTCGCCATCGGCTGCTGTCCACGGTGCATTTGACGAGGGCTCAGCTGCTCCAAACTTCATGGAGGCTTGGGCGAGCTTTTCTATGGTTCTGGTAACGGTTCAATTTTCTCATGTCCTGTATGAGGTGGTCGTTGCTGATTTGGTTGTGGCATCTGCAGAGAGTTCGGCTCGTGCAGCAATTTCGAGCGCATGCTCCTCGCCCACAATTCAATGGCATATTGAATATTTTTTATGGGGATATATAATCAATTTTTATTTCTAATAATTAGTAAAATACACTCCAATGAGAATTTAGAGGAGCTCTATAATGTAGGTTTTATTCATACAAGTAATAGAGATCATGCTAGAGTTTTAGAATGTTATTTTCAAGCATTAGAAAGAAATTCATCTTTGCAGGTTTGAATTCTTCACACCTTAGTTTGCCACCTACGAGGTATTAAATTTGGAGGATGCTTATCCCTCGACCGCTTGATCTTGAGGGGCTGTAACACATATGATGTTCAACAAGAATAAAAACAATTATTAAAGGAGGAGGTTGAAGATACTTCACAATTTATTGAGATGCGAGTCACCAGAATCTGAAATGTGGAAGTTTCTTGGACATGACCTTTGAGTCTTGGGAGAGGGCCTGAGTTGAGGGCTGTCAAACCCACATTCGAGTTTAATATCAAGGCAGCATATAAGCATTCGTTTAAAGGTGCTGCCCTGCCCTGCTTTATACACAAGAAAATGGTGTGTTCATTATCTGATTACCATCTCTTGTGTATGTATATCTATTTATATATACATACACACACGTTTACATTCATCCCTAGATGTCGCCCGTTGATGAGTACAAGTATGTAAGTTGCATAATAATTTCTGAGCAGTTCTTCTGGTTTAGCATTGGTTTCAAGTGATTTGGATGAACAGAATATAAGCATTTCATACTCATGACTCATATAATACTCTTTATTCTATGATTGTTACCCAGAAGCTAATGTGGACAGTTTGACAAAGAACCACAATATTTTATATTCTTTATGGTTACATACAAAGATTGTTTCTTGTATGATGTACCGAAGCTGTATGAAATGATTGTATTTTAAGATTGGCATTCTTGGAAAAGACGTGATTCACCTTATCAAACTTACTTCCAAGAAACACACAGATTCATTTATTAAAAGTGTAAATTGCGTTTTAGAGAAATGATGTAATCATTACTTTTATTTATTTGACTATGATTGAACCAGGGATGGCATCATCAGGTTTTTTGCAATCAGCATCAAAACTGTTTTTCTAGAAAACCCGAAATTATTTATTGGCATGAAAATGGGTTTTCCTTCTGAACCTGAGATACTAAATTGTTCTGGAGTTAACCAGGATGAAAGGGCAGTGTCTGATGTAGGCTCATGTCGTAGCTTGAACAAGGCAGCTAATAATGGAAATGAATGTCAATCTCCAATGAAGCGGAACGTAGCTTCTTGGCTGTCTCTCTGTACGCAAACAATTCTGAAATTCGCTCCGAACATAAAACTCGTGTAATATTCCAATGCAACCCCTTTCAATAGTCTAATACAATTGGTTAAAATCAGAATTTTAAATTGAACCGAAATTATTTTCGATAGAAACCGGATTTTTCCTACCCCTGATTGAACTAACTAGAGAAATTTAAGATATGAATTAACTCCTAAATTTGATAAGAAATAAAACATATCAATTATTTTAATTAAATTTAAATATCATTAGTTAAAAGTTAAATCATATTTATATAAATATAATTGAAAATTTTAAAAATCTTATAAATATTATTTTATTAAAAGATAATTCCATTTTTTTTCAAAAGGCAAATTTGAGTGTGAAAATAACCAACAAAAACCCAAACAATAATACAATGTATTAAATACATATAGTTTCAATCTGCATTCGAAAATGAAAACTAACAAAAATGTCTCAAGTTACAGTCATTGAAAAGCTACCAGTGTCCGGAATGCTCGTTTCCCCAACCCTAAGACTCCTAGATTTATATAAAAGCAAAAGGATGCCAACGTCTAGAGTAGGATCTGATGAGGACAAACTGGATGAAAATATTCCTGTGTATAATGGAGATAGGATAATGTGGCGCCGGGCAGGTAACGGAACATCAAGTCCACGTTCGGATGTTCGGAATCATAAACAGAATTCGTCTTTTGGCGAGCATTCATCACTGAATCCCGTGATTCTGATTTCTCGGGATTAGTACTGCCCGAAGCAGGTAAGAACCTGGCTCGTCAGAGATTTCATCTGTCCGCAAGCGCACAGAATTGTCAGTGATTCGTCACGCCTGTCAGAGTGCAAGCTCCACAGACAGCACCGATAATCGTACCGATGATTCCAGATCATTCCACATGGCAGTGGTGAGGCTGACCATGCTCAACCGTACGACACATACAGTAATTATCTGCTAGATATGTAGGCATCTGAATCAGACTGCTAGCCTTCGAAGTTCATCACCCTGAGCTGGATTCTGGAGCTGCGCTTTTGTTTTATGGCAGTGAGCTGCGAAGGCAGTCGTGATTTTGTGTCTTCCTTCAGTGAACTTCCTTTAGCTCAGGCCAGCAGCAGCAGCAGCAGCCGTCATGATGCTGACATGATCGCTTTGCAGCTCTTCCTGCTCAGAAGGACTCCAGAATTCAGAATCGCTCATTATGCTCTGCAACTAGTCGTACTCTCCGTACCCAGTCGTAAAATTATGCTTCTGCTAAGTCAGACGACGTCAATCGTACGACCGCAAAGTCTTCTAAACCCAACAAGATTTTGGCCTGAGGGGATAGGGTTTTGGTGAAGATTCAAGTCCGAGCCGTGTGTCATGATAGTCTACAGTGCTACAATAGCCACACTTCACCTGCACTTACTTCTTTCGTTGAGTCCCCTTTTGTTTCATTCGGACGAGTCCTTTATGCCGGTTCGAAGTTCAAACTTGGGATCAAATTGTCAAAGAGTAGACGCCAAGCCAAGCCAAGCCAACCCATTGCTTTAATGACTGACTTCTGAGGGTTCTGTGCATCCCATGATGCTTTTGCAGCTCGGTCTCGTCTCATACAACGTCAGAGTGCTGAGCCCCGGTGCATTCTGCAGGAAATGATAGTCAGGATGTCACACTGTCACTCGAGCTTCTTCTTTTCCTATTTGAGCTTTGCTTCCTCGACTGGTGTCTTGGAACTACATTGATTAGAGTTCATTGTCTCACTAAGAAGAATTCCCCCAGCACACCCTGACTAATCTCACGGACCACCCACCCAAACAAATTTGGAACTCACTCTCAATGCATCTGTTTCGAGGAAGGCAACAGTGACTTCAGCAGTGACACTCAACTGAGCCCGAAGGCAAGACTCTGCAACACCTCCGGTCAAAAATCTGTTGGGAATCTCCCCACCCAGATTCAACCTTCCAATTGCAGTAGTGATTTGTAGTTCATGGCAGTCAACGACATTCTCCGCTCCTTAATGTCCCAAATTCTTCAATCCATCAAATCTCGAGTTCGCTCACTCTCGAGTATGATTCATGTACCAAGTGTCTACATCTTGGTTTGTTTCTCACGTGATTAGTCCGATGAACTGGCCTAACATGGCCTCCTGCCTTAATAATCCTAATCACACTGTTGCTCTTTAGTGACAAATACACTCACACAGTGTTTAAGGTGATCAGTGCAGTTGCCACAAATGAACCGGCTACTGACTCGATGCCCCTCGTAAGTGCAACGCTGGGTCTATAAGCAGTAATTGGAAAAGATACAGATCAGCACGTATGGATTTGTTGGCAGCTTGGTAACAACAATGAGCTCGACAGAGTGAAATATCTGTGTGGGGTTAGAGAAACGAAGAGCCACTGGGCAGAGTTTCTTCATTTAGATATTTGACCACTTGCAGAGGACTCAATCAACCTTCTAGAATGTCGAGCACAAGACCAGCTAGGACTGAAGCATTCAAAGGGTTAATGTTCTTAACAAAAGCAAACGAACAATTCAAAACCTTTTAAAGAACCTGGGACCTTGCGGGAGTGCTGACCGCTGGTCTAATTACCAATTACAGATACTTATGGATGCTATCTCTTCAATAAAATGTTCACTGTCCTGTACAGAATCGTGTCCAGAGCTTGCGTATGCAGCTGCTTTTCTCCATAATCCTCAACTGAACCATTCTGGTTTCATCGAACATTCGAGCAGCATCTGCCACATCTGCTTATTGGCTTTTCGAGGCATACTAGGTCCAGAAGAGACTTCCAGTGGACTCTTCTTTGTATCCATGGACTTTCGCGCAGAAACCTCGTCGATTCAACAATCCTTACCCGACCGAGTCAGCTTTGGTAGCATTGCTCTGCGTTGCGAGGTACTGCGTATCTAAAGCGCTCTTTGAATCGAGTATCAGGTGCAAGTGTGTGTGGTCAGAACCAGTTGAGAATGAATGGTGGCCACTAACTTCTAACTCCTATCTTATCAGGTCCGGTGACTGAAGTCACTTGGTTCTCATCACCTTACCCTCTCCTAATAATCTTCCGATATTAGTACGAATGTTGGATAGTACGAGCGAGTTTCCAGTTGCAAGATTGTGTTCATTTAGTTTATGATGTACTAGCATGAGGGCCCTCATTCTTAACTCGAGAGTAGTGATAAGGTAGTGTTGTAGTGTGCATTTCATTTCATGCTGACAAGACTTCCTGCATTTTGTCTATCCTAGCTGTAGCAAATATCTCAACAAGCGATCGAAAAAAAAGACTTGATCGTTTGTGGCCATCACAGCTTTCACTTCGGTGTCCTCTAGTCTCGAATACAACGGTGATTGTGATGGGTACAATTGCTTGCCCTTTCTTGCACTTGTTTG